AGTACTCTCTAAGCGGTGTACACCAGTAAGCAGTATATATATATATATTTACATTGCCCCCAACAATCTGGGTCCTCATTTTACCTACCCTGGAAGGATGGAAGGCTGAGTCAACCTTGAGCCGGTGAGATTTGAACCGCTGACCTGCTGAACACAGTCAGCTAAAGTGGCCTGCAGTACTGCACTCTAACTGCTGCACCACCTCGGCTGAGCCAAGGTTGCCTACCCCTGGTATAAGGTTTCCTGCAGAGGGTTGGACTAGATGACCTCCAAGGTCCCTCCCAACCCTGTTATTCTCTTAATCAGTGGAATGGTCTGCCTCCTGGGTGCTCAAACACTGGAGGTTTTTAAGAGGAGATTGGAAAACCATTTGTCTGAAATGCTGTAGGATCTCCTGCTTGAGCAGAGGGTTAGACTGGAAGACCTCTGAAGTCCCTATCAACTCTGTTATCATGTTCTATTAAAATGCAGTTCAGTGGTGAGAAAAGGAAGGATCAGCACTTAGGCACGATAACTCAAATGCACAGGTATACAATATAGACGGTACCTGGCTCAAAAGTAGCAACAGTGAGAGGGATCTAAGTATCTCACATACTTATTTAGTATCTAAGTATCTTAGTGGTGCACCTGCCAAAAAGGCTAATAAAGTCCTACATTGCATCAACAGAGGGAGAGCATCAAGATCACATGAAGTATTATAATGCCTTGGTAAGGCCACACTTGGAATACCGCATCCAGTTTTGGTCACTACGATATAAAAAAGAGGTTGAGACTCTCGAAAGAGTACAGAGAAGAGCAACAAAGATGATCAGGGGACTGGAGGCTAAAACATATAAGGAACGGTTGCTGGAATTGGGTATCTCTAGTTTAATGAAGAGAAGGACGAGGGGGGACATGATAGCTGTGTTCCAGTATCTCAGGGGCTGCCACAAAGAAGAGGGGGTCAACCTTGACTCTTGAAGACAGGATAAGAAGCAATGGATGGAAACTTATCAAAGAAAGAAGCAACCTAGAACTAAAGAGAAATTTCCTGACGGCAAGAACAATTAACCAGTGGAACGGCTTCCTTCCAGAAGTTATGGGTGCTCCATCACTGGAGATTTTCAAGAAGAGACTGGACAGCCATTTGCCCGAAATGGTATGGTCTCCTGCTTGAGCAGGGGTTGGACTAGAAGACCTCCAACGTCCCTTCCAACTCAGTGTTTCTGTGTTCTGCATCCTGTACTCCCAATGAGTTCCATGAGGTTTTACAGGACGCAGAGCACAGAATAAGTCACATTTTCAGAAAGGGAAATAAGTTGCTGGAAACCGGCACTACTGGAAAGAGACAATCACCTTCCCAGGGCTCCAATCTACATCAAACTGTGTTTTTGTGTTCAGCAGCATGCACAACTTTGCTGTTTTTTGTTTTTTTTTTTCATCTTGTCTAAATGAGTCCAGGAGAGCTTTAGAAGGCCAATTTGAAGGATTTATTGGACTTCTATTTAGCCAACTGGAGCTCCACTTTGCAGGCTGCTGAGCCGATAATGAAAGTCTAAGAAAAAGGGAGGCTGAATATCTTGATTAAAATAAGGCTGTCAGCCAGAATATGCATTGGGGGAATGTAGTCAAAGGGCAGATAAGATATAATCATACCTTCATCTACGCTCAAAACCTGGAGGTCTTTTACAACTCCTAATTCAGTCAATGGAAGGACAAACTAATGAAGAAAAATATTTATTCTAATGTATTTGGCCAGAGAATGGATCCTCAGTCTATTGTACGTACAAGAAACTGGTACGGCAGTGTTTCCCAAACTTGACAATTTTAAGGCATGAGGACTTCAACTCCCAGAATTCCACAGCCAGCAACGCTGGCTGTCGAATTCTGGGAGTTGAAGTCCACATGCCTTAAAATTGTCAAGTTTGGGAAACACTGTGGTACGGCATAGTGGTGAGTGGGACTTGGTGGTGAGTGGGGCTCAAATTATCATGTCCAACTTTAGACACCTTATATTTAGACGTCGGATTCTGAAGAAGGCTCTAATGTTGGCATACGTGGAAGGAAAAAGAAGGGGGCAGCCAAGAACAGGAGGGGTGGATTCAGTTACAGTGGTAATGTGGGCAGCATTGGAAGAGCTGCAGGACAAGGTTAGGAACAGGATATCACAACGGAAATCTACCTGCGTGGTTGCTAAGAGCCAACAGTGACTTAATAGGATGTAGTCAATCATTCAGTTATGGTGGCTATCAAGCCAAGCAGCAATGGGAATCAGGGAAGAGATTTTTCATCTCTGAATCTTACCCAAGGAGACAGCGAAGTGTGGGGCCCTTGGTGCTCTCTGAGCTTGGTGGTTTTCTTGGAGATGTTTCCGGACCCAGCCAGGGAACCTCATCAGCGCTGGAAGGGAAGGGGGTTTGTGAAGAGGAGGAGGAGGAGGAGAAGAAGAAGGAAGAAGAAGAAGGAAGAAGAAGAAGAAGAAGAAGAGGAGGAGGAGGAGGAGGAGGAAGAGGAGGAGGAGGAGGAGGAGGGGGAGGATCATTCTGTTGCTTTGTGTATACACTGAGAGCTTCTGCACCGGAGACAAATTCCTTGTGCATCTAATCACACTTGGCCAGATAAAGTATTCCATTCCATTCAACTGGCCATCAGCAAGCAAGACAGTGGGGATCCTGATAAGTCAGACGTGTCTACTGAATATGGTTTTTTTTTAAAAAAAAAAAAAAAGTCAAGATGATGGTGCAATCAAAGCTCTCCTGGGGCTTCCAGGCTCATTGTCTCACCTAAAACCCAGCTGGGCCTTTGATTGCACCGTCCAAGCAGCCATCTTGATTTATTTATTTTTTTTACCATATCCTGCTGTGAGCTCGCTGATCCCCAGGACTAGTCCTAAAAGACCATTTGCAGAGGACTTCTGCTTTTTCTAACTCCTCGTACTTTTCCCTAGCTTTAATAAACGTTAGGTGACATGAAAGCAGTGTTCTAATATTTGAGGGACTGTCACAGGGAAGAGGGGGGTCAACCTATTCTCCAAAGCACCTGAGGGCCAGACAAGGAGCAATGGATGGAAACTGATCAAGGAGAGAAGCAACCTGGAATTAAGGAGAAACTTCCTGACAGTTACAACGATGGAACAGCTTGCCTCCAGAAGTTGTGGATGCTCCGACACCGGAGGCTTTCAAGAAGAGACTGGACAGCCACTTGTCTGGAATGGTAGTGTGGGAAGTCAACCCCCCCCCAGAGAAGGAAATATTAAAAGGGCAGAAAAATATATTTTCTCAAAGGATCTTAAAGAGGCAGAAAAGCATGCCCAGTTTTTCTTAATAGCCCCAAGTCTGCCTCCCCCAAGCAAAGCCAGCTCTATACAAATACAGATGTAAACCATCAGGAAAGTTGGAGCTAGAAGCTTAGGAAGACAAAGATACCTAAAATCTGCATACACCACCCAAACGCTAAGAGTCATTAGCCCCAGCACCAGGGAAGCAGGATATGACCTTTGGGACATAATAGGATTAACTCACAGATGCCAAAGGGACACAGGTCAGAATACGTGACACAGGAAATACAAAGCCTAAAACAGGAACAGGAAACTACTCCAAATGAAAGGCTCCAGAGGGTATAAAAACCCACTCCCCACATGTGCTCAGCCCTTTTTCTCTCTTCTTTCCTGCCAGAACCATCTTTCTGTCTAGCTCTTCAATAAACTGCAATCTTCTTTCTAAAGCGGTCGCCATGTTGTTTATTTATCCCTGGCTTGGATGAACCAGGATGAAGACTTTTCCTTCAACAGTAGGGTCTCCTGCTTGAGCAAGGGGGGGGGACTAGATGTCCTACAAGGTTCCTTTCAACTCTGTTATTATTCTGTTCTTATTCTAAATACGCCATGGGGTGCAGGATCCTATTGGCCAATTAAAAATAAAAATGGATATATGAGTGTCCTAAAAGAAATTAGGCAAAATATCGGAGAACTTAAATGTCTAAGCAACTATCAAGCTGCCACTAGGATTGATGACTCACATCAGCCATTTTTCCCCCGCCTTTGTTGGAGAGACATGTAATTTAATAAGGGCCATCAGTTTTACACACCCGGCCACACGGGGCTAATGTTTTTCTATTTAGAAAATGTATTAGTACAAACAGCCGCATTGACAGGTTTGTTATGTCTGATTTGCAGAGGCTAATTTGGGAAGGCAATCAAGAGTTTTTAGCCTGCCCTAATGGCGATGTCTTGGGGAGGCTTTGTGTAACCAGTCCTGTTATGCTGCAAGTTTTTTTTCTTTGCCACAATTGGACATAACCTGAGGCAACCAGAAAAGCTGCCTGGCCGAGGAACCGGCTCACAGGCCGTTTAAATACAAGAAGAGATAAACAAAGACCCTCAGGAGGGGAAGGTCGGTCTACAGAATGTGGGAAGTCAGCCCTCCCCCCGAACAAAGAAATATTTTTGGAAATATATAAAAGACAGAATATATTTCCCTACAGGATTTTAAAAGCAGAAACCAACCCCGCCCCCAAGTCTCTCTGTCCCAAACAGAAACCAAGTCTGCAGAAATGCAGATGTGATAATCTTGTCAGAAAGACTGGAGTCAGGAAACTGGGATTAGGAAAAAAGATCCCTAGAATCAACAATCCCTCACACCAAAAATCTAAGTGTCATCAGCCACAGTCCCAGGGAAGCAGGATTGACCTTTGGGACATAATAGGATTAACCCATCACCATCAGAATACCAGAAAGGCACACTCAGACTCAAGTCAAAGTTCATGCCACAGGCACAACTTCAAACAAAAAGCTCAAGAAGGTATAAAAACCCACTCCCTACATGTGCTCACTCTCTCTTTTCTGCCAGAGCCATCTTTCTGTCTGGCTCTCCTCTTCAATAAACTGCAACCTTCTTTCTAAAGCAGTCGCTTGGACTGAACCATGATGAAGACTTTTCCTTCAACAAGAGGAAGAATGACGCAAAAGGACCGAAAACCTCTGATTTTACCACGAAGCATAGCATAGCAGAGGCAAAACTTACAAGAGCCATGTCCAACGAGGAACGAGTCTTTGTATTTGGGGTTCCTATAAGAAAAAGAGATGTAAACTGTCAGCGTTCCACTATTTTGACAATATTTTTTAGTGTGTTATAGACATATTTTGTTCCATGCGATTGTTACGGACATAAATGCATCTTTGTAGAGCAGGAGACTGGAGGCAGTGCCAGTTTCCAAGTATTGAAATACCTTTTTAGTAATTAGTAAATTATTATATTTCAACATCAGAACTTCCTAACTGTGTTTAGTGATTTAGAATTATAATTAATTCATCATGAAAGATTTTGTGAGCTTGAGACTGTCCAACATAAGAAAACTGCAATAAATAAAATCTAGTAGCCTTTCTGCTATCTTCCCTTCTAGCTCTATTCCATTCCATTCCATTCCATTCCATTCCATATTTTCTATTCTATTCTATTCTATTCTATTCTATTCTATTCTATTCTATTTGCATCAAAGACCCCCCAGTTATCCTCTTCCTCCTCCTCTCCATAAACCCCTCTCCCTTCTAGCACCGATGATGTGACATATTGAGTAATGAAAGTCTGCAAGGAAACAAACAAGCTCAGAAAGCACCAAGGACCCCATAGTCCTCTTCATTTTTGTGCCTCCTCCCCCCCTTCCTCCTCTCCGCAAACCTCCCTCACTTCTAGCACTGATAATGTTTCCTGCAAGGAAACCACCAAGCTCAGAGAGCACCAAGGACCCTTCATTTCAACCCTGCACTACAAATATTATCCTTTTTTTATTTTTTCCCCCTGAAGTTAAAATACAAAGTAAACAGACATAACAAAACAAAAAAACTATAAATGGGACACAAGAAAAAAAAAGAAAGAAAAAGTGTTTATAACAAATATAACATTGACAGTAAACATTTTATATTGGTCGTTTTCATTTTTCAATAATAAGATAAGCAGCATGGATCAAAAGCCTGGCCAAAGAAGAGATGGACCGATTAACTATGAGGTTGAAAGACAAAGAAGATACAGACTACTATCAAATTTGGAATTTATTTTATTCTTATTTAGAGAAAAAAAATGAAGGATTAGGAATTGAACATGTATTAGCTTAGCAAACTCCAGACAACTTGTGGATTGGAAAAATTAACATATGTTGATGAGAAAAAAAATTAATAAAAATAAGAATAAAAACAAAAAACAAAAGCCTGGCCAAAGAGCGCCCCTACCTTAACCTGCAGAGAAGGCACTCACCAGCAGAGGGCAGTGACGGCCAGCCGCTTGGCTTTGTCGTACTGAAACTTCCAGAGCGGCAGCAGCGTCCCCATGTTATCTCTGTATTCGTCCGAGGCATCTTCAAAGTACTTGAAATCTAGCAAAACCAAAACCTCACATCGGTTTTTTAAATCAGCAGTAGCAAATTATTGCACAAACCAAGATTTTGGCACTGTGCATATTCTTACTGCACCACTGAAATAAACAAATGGTACTATATAGGGCAGTGGTTCTCAACCTTTCTAATGCCGTGACCCCATAATACAGTTTCCCATGTTGTGGTGACCCCCAAGTCGGTGTGGCCACCAATAAGAGGGAGTAGAACAGCTGGGGAAAAGGGAAAAAAATGGCGGACAGCGTGGTTTGGCGACCCCCGTGAAATGGTCGTTCGACCCCAAATGGGGTCCCGACCCACAGGTTGAGAACCACTGGTATAGGGAGATGATTCTCAACCTTGGGTCACTTGAAGAGAGGTGGACTTCAACTCCCAGAATTCCCGAGCCAGCGTGGCTAGCTAGAAATGCTGGGAGTTGAAGTCCACCTGTCTTCAAGTGGCTCAAGGTGGAAAAACACTAGTATAAGGTTTCCTGCCTGAGCAGGGGGTTGGACTAGAAGACCTCCAAGGTCCCTTCCAACTCTTGTTATTCTGTTATTCCATTTTTTTTGTTATCCAGTTATTCTGTATAGAATTTCTTGCCTAAGCAGGGGGTTGGACTAGAAGACCTCCAAGGTCCCTTCCAACTCTTGTTATTCTGTTATTCCATTTTTTTTTTTTTTGTTATCCAGTTATTCTGTATAGAATTTCCTGCCTGAGCAGGGGGTTGGACTAGAAGACCTCCAAGGTCCCTTCCAACTCTTGTTATTTTTTTTTATTGAAAAGTTTTATACTAGTTTTTAACAATTTCCCCCCGTAGAATAACCCCCTCCCTCCCCCCCTCACTTCCCAGAGCTGGTTACAGGGTTACAAATAAACAAGCAAATTCTAAATAAACTTATCCAGCTGTACAAATAACAAAATCAATAATATGCTTTAACTTGAATACAAAACAAATTTAAGCAAATTTAAAAAAAATAACAATATAAGCAATTCCAAATTAAAAACTAAAAAATTATTCATAATCTAAATAATACTTTTTAATCCCATATCAACTCTAATCATAATTTATCCATTAAATCCCATATTTTCTTCACATGTAATTTATCCATCTTCTCCACGCCGAGGTGTATATTTCTTTTAAACAACCATTCATCCATAATAAACACAAGATTCTCCCTCCAATGTAACCCCACCAACAAACTTACATTCAATAAACTTGGCTCTTTGCTTTTTTTGTTTTTTCCCCCCACCCTTAAGTAAATTTATTAATACCCTCCTACTTAAAAAGTTTTAGCAAACCATTCATCTTAATCACTAAAATTCTCACCAACAGAGATCATTAGAATTTAAATTCTTTTACACCTTTACCCATAACAACTCTTGTTATTTTGAATTCTGTTATTCTGTATAACAGAGGTCCCCAACCTTTTGGGCACCAGGGACTGGTTACGTGGAGAGAAGTTTTTCTGTGGGCCGGAGGGGGTGTGGTTTTGTGTGCTGCCTGCATCTTGTGAATGGAGTTTTCCTTGTTTGTGAGGACTGGTTGCTGGCATGCTGTGGCCAGGTACTGGTCCACGGACCAAGGGTTGGGGACCCCTGCTGTATAGGATCTCCTGTTTCAGCAGAGGTTGGACTAGAAGATCTCCAAGATCCCGTTCCGACTCTCTTATTCTGTTATCTCCAATTCAGCACCGGCTTTGTTGGCACCCCCCAGCTTGGTATTCTCAGCAACCATTTTTTCCCCAGCTTTGCATTCTTACAAACGCTACACTAAGCAAGATGTTAAAATTCTTTCTTCCCACAGGCTTTGAATCATACCAAAAGTATGACTGTTTCTCTTTTTAAGCTACTGTGGGAAGTCAGACCCCCATAGAAGGAAATATTAAAAAGGCAGGAAAATATATTTCCTCAAAGGATCTTAAAGAGGCAGAAAAGCATGCCCAGTTTTTCTTAATAGCCCCAAGTCTCTCTCCCCCAAGCAGAAACCAGCTCTGTAGAAATGCAGATGTAAACCATTCAGGAAGGTTGGAGCTAGAAGATTAAGAAGACAAAGACACCTAAAAAATCTACGTACCCTACCCAAAGTCTAAGACAAGACATAATAGGATTAACTCACAGATGTCAAAGGGACATATGTCAGAATACATGACACAGGAAATAGCCTCATAGAGGAACAGAAAACAACTCCAAACAAAAGGCTCCAGAGGGTATAAAAACCCACTCCTACATATGCTCTCTCTCTTTTCTACCAGAGCCATCTTTCTGTCTGGCTCTCCTCTTCAATAAACTGCAACCTTTTTTCTAAAGCAGTCACCATGTTGTTTATCCCTGGCTTGGACTGAACCATGATGAAGGCTTTTCTTTCAACACTACAGATAATCCTCAACATACTAATTTAGAGCAGAATTTCCATTGTTAAGCAAGGCGGGTTGTTAAGCGAGTCGCATCCAATTTTAACAACCTTATGGGCGATTAGAAACGTTCAACGTTTAACATTCTTGCCACGGTTGTTCAAGAAATCACTGCAGTTGCTAAGCAAGTCATGCAGTCGTTAAGCAAATTTGGCTTCCCCCTCTCTCCCCCCCTTGATTTGGGTTGCCGGAAGCTGGATGGGAAGTTTGCAAATGGCGATCACGTGACGTGGCAAACGTTGTGAATATAGGTGAGTTGCCAAGCATCTGAATTTGTGGGGATGCTGCAGGGCTTGCAAGTGTGAGAACTAAATGCAAGTCACTTTTTTTTCCGGGCCGTTGTAACTCCAGAACGGTCGCTAAATGAATGGTTGCAAGTTCAAGGACTCCTTGCATTTCTTTCCTTCCATTCTAAATCTGCATGAGGTTAGGATGCTGCTTGAACTTTTTAAAATGTTTTTTAAGTGATGAAGCTCCTTGGGAACAATCCAGAGGATTAACAGAACAGAATAACAGAGTTGGAAGGGACCTTGGAGGTCTTCTAGTCCAACCCACTGCTCAAGCAGGGGACCGTGTACCATTTCAGACAAGTGATTAGTTGTCCAATCTATTCTTAAAAATCACCAGTGTTGGAATACCCACAACTTAATTGTTAATTGTTCTCACTGCCAGGAAATTTCTCCTTAGTTCTAGGTTGCTTCTCTCCTCGGTTAGTTTCCATCCGTTGCTTTTTGTCCTGCCTTCAGGTGCTTTGGAGAATAGCTTGACTCCCTCTTCTTTGGGGCAGCCCCTGAGATATTAGAAGACTGCTATTATATCACCCCTAGTCCTTCTTTTCATTAACATAGACCAGGGATAGGCAACCTTGGCTCTTTTATGACTTGTAGACTTCACCTCCCAGAATTCCTGAATCAACATAACTCAGCTTGGAAACCTCTCCCTTTTCCCTCAGTATAACTGGATCAGGAATTCTGGGAGTTGAAGTCCACGAGTCGTAAAAGAGCCAAGGTTGCCTACCCCTGACAGAGACATACCTGTATTCAAATCCAAAGAATGAAAGCTGAAAGATCTCCCAAGCAACACTTTAAAAAAAAAAACCTCATAGTTTGTGAGCATCAATATAAAAAATTTAGAAAATGTAGAGGTAATCTTCGAACTTATGACTGGATGCTTAACTGCTGTTCAAAGTTACAGTATAGCGGCCCCCTTAGAACAGGGGTCCCCAACCCCTGGTCTGTGGACCAGCACCGGGCCGTGGCATGCCAATAATCGGACCATGCAAACAAGTGAAGCCCCATCTGCAGGATGCAGGCAGCACACAAAACCATGCACCTCCAGTCCATGGAAAAACCTCTCTCCATAGAACCGGTCCCTGGTGCCCAAAAGGTTGGGGGGGCTCTGCCTGAGAAGGTACTTATGACCTGGTCCCTGCAGCAATCCCCGTGGGGGTTCACCCTCATGACCAATGGCATCCAAGCCAAGGGAAGGAGTGAGAACGGGCCCACCTCATTCAGGCAGCGTCCCAGCCAGCCGCCTGGGTCCTCACCTTGAGCGATGTCATCGAAAGTGTTCTGGTTGACCATCCGCTCCACGATCTTTGCCGCCTTGGCCACTTTGTTGATGTCGTCGCTCTGTTGAAAAAGGGGATGAGAATATTCGAAGGCAAAAGCCGGTTGGCCTGGCAAGGACTGTAGCTTCCCACACTCGCAATGCACTGTTCGGCTTTGGAGTTTTCTATGGCAAGATGTGGTGCTGGGTGGGATGCTGCCTCGGAGTGACGGGATCTCCCGCTAGGCTGGGAGGAGGGTAGTACCTTCAGTGGTAGAAGGGAGTGGGGCTTGGGGGGAGGAGAAGGAGGAGGAGGAGAAGTATGGGTTTTTGGTGCTCTCTCAGCTTGATAGCTTTCTTGCAGATGTTTCATTATCCAACTAGGTAACATCATCGGTGCTAGAAGGGAGTGGGATTTGTGAAGAGGAGGAGGAGGAGGAGAAGAAGAAGAAGAAGAAGAAGAAGAAGAAGTAGAAGAAGAAGAAGAAGAAGAAGAAGAAGAAGAAGAAGAAGAAGAAGAAGAAGAAGAAGAAGAAGAAGAAGAAGAAGAAGAAGAAGAAGAACAACAACAACAACAACAACAACAACAACAACAACAACAACTATGGGTCCTTGGTGCTCTCTCAGCTTGATAGCATTCTTGCGGATGTTTCATTATCCAACTAGGTAACATCATCAGTGCTAGAAGGGAGTGGGATTTGTGAAGAGGAGGAGGAGGAGGAGGAGGAGGAGGAGGAGGAGAAGAAGAAGAAGAAGAAGAAGAAGAAGAAGAAGAAGAAGAAGAAGAAGAAGAAGAAGAAGAAGAAGAAGAAGAAGAAGAAGAAGAAGAAGAAGAAGAAGAAGAAGAAGAAGAAAGAAGAAGACAACAACAACAACAACAACAACAACAACAACAACAACAACTATGGGTCCTTGGTGCTCTCTCAGCTTGATAGCATTCTTGCGGATGTTTCATTATCCAACTAGGTAACATCATCAGTGCTAGAAGGGAGTGGGATTTGTGAGGAGGAGGAGGAGGAGGAGGAAGAAGAAGTAGAAGAAGAAGAAGAAGAAGAAGAAGAAGAAGAAGAAGAAGAAGAAGAAGAAGAAGAAGAAGAAGAAGAAGAAGAAGAAGAAGAAGAAGAACAACAACAACAACAACAACAACAACAACAACAACAACAACTATGGGTCCTTGGTGCTCTCTCAGCTTGATAGCATTCTTGCGGATGTTTCATTATCCAACTAGGTAACATCATCAGTGCTAGAAGGGAGTGGGATTTGTGAAGGAGGAGGAGGAGGAGGAGGAGGAGGAGGAGGAGAGAGAAGAAGAAGAAGAAGAAGAAGAAGAAGAAGAAGAAGAAGAAGAAGAAGAAGAAGAAGAAGAAGAAGAAGAAGAAGAAGAAGAAGAAGAAGAAGAAGAAGAAGAAGAAGAAGAAGAAGAAGAAGAAGAAGAAGAACAACAACAACAACAACAACAACAACAACAACAACTATGGGTCCTTGGTGCTCTCTCAGCTTGATAGCATTCTTGCAGATGTTTCATTATCCAACTAGGTAACATCATCAGTGCTAGAAGGGAGTGGGATTTGTGAAGAGGAGGAGGAGGAGGAAGAGGAGGAGAAGGAGGAGAAGGAGAAGGAGAAGAAGAAGAAGGAGAAGGAGGAGGAGGAGGAGGAGGAGGAGGAGGAGGAGGAGGAGGAGGAGGAGAACTATGAGTCCTTGGTGCTCTCTCAGCTTGATAGCTTTCTTGCGGATGTTTCATTATCCAACTAGGTAACATCATCAGTGCTAGAAGGGAGTGGGATTTGTGAAGAGGAGGAGGAGGAGGACTATGGGGTCTTTGGTGCTCTCTGAGCTTGGCTGTTTCCTTGCAGACATTTTATGAGCCAACTACGGAACATCATCAATTGGGTCATGAAATATCTGTAAGAAGAAGAAGAGGAGGAGGAGGAGGAGGAGGAGGAGGAGGAGGAGGAGGAGGAGGAGGAGGAGGAGGAAGAGGGCTTGCTTGCTTCCTTGCTGTTTTCTTGCAGACATTTCACCACCCAAAACTAGGTGACATCACCAGCGCTAGATGTTACCTAGTTTGGGTCACGAAACGTCTGCAAGAAAACAAGCAAGCTCAGAGAGCACCAAGGGGCCCACAGTTCGACTCTGGGCTGCAAATATTCTCCTTCAAAGATGCTGGTGAAAAGATGAGATGAACCATAGGGCTGAATAGTAGGGCTGAAAGGGACCTCTGAGGTCTTCTTTTCCAAGTCTATTTTTGAAAACCTCCAGGGATATTGAATATAGAATAATAGAGTTGGAAGGGACCTTAGAGGTCTTCTAGTCCAAACTCTGCTTAAGCAGGATAGCCTACACCATTCCTGACAAATGGCTGCCCAGTCTATTCTTGAAAACCTCACAATTTCTGGAGGCAAGCCGTTCCACCAATCAGTTAAGACAGTGGTTCTCAACCTTTCTAATGCCGCGACCCCATAATACAGTTCCCCATGTTGTGGTGACCCCCAACCACTTATACATCACCGGGTGCCAGGGGTGTGGCCAAAGGGGGAAAAATAGCAGACAGCCTTGTTTGGCGACCCCCGTGAAATGGTCGTTCGACCCCAAATGGGGTCCCGACCCACAGGCTGAGAACCACTGAGTTAAGAGAATGACAGAGCTGGAAGGGACCTTCCAGGCCTTCTAGTAAATCCCAAACATTTTAATGCCAACTGAAGTGGGAAATATCTACTTTAGTTTTATTTTGTTGATCAAATTTACACTGCGGCCCACCCTACGAGTAATACGCAGATGGTCCAGGACTTACCAGCACAACTGAGAAACAACATCTCCGTTGTGGATCAAGGCAGTTGTTAAGGGAGTTGTGCTCCATTACACCATCTTTTTGCCACAGTTGTGAAGCAAATCATGAGGTTGTTGATAGAATCACAGGGTCGTCAAGTGAACTCCCATTGGGGATCACCTTTTTTTTTAATATTTTTTTATTTTTCCAAACTCTCCCCCATACATATACCGTGATATTTATCAGATGTTAACATACATTCTTTTTACATTCATATATAAGATACTTTTAATAAAATGAAATAAATACATACACATGACTTTTGGTGTTGCTCGCCCATTTCCCCTTTCACTGTATCCACACTCCTTCTTCTCTACCTTCTTTCTCCCTTTCTTCTCTTCCCTACTTCCCTCTTCTTCCTCTCCTCTCCTTCACCACTCTCCTCCCCTTTCTCCCCACTTCTCCTCCAACCTTCCTACTTCCTTCTCCCCATTGGGGATCACCTGACCCTGTGACACTGCAACCGTCATAGGTACATGCCAGTTGCCGAGCCGTCGAATTTTGATCATGTGACCTTGGGGATGCCGCCACAGTCATAAGTGTGAAAAACCAGACATACAGTAGTGGCCAAAATTGTGGAAACCTTTTTGGAAAAGTGTATTTTTGAGGTTGGATGGCTAATAACACCACTTTTTTTGGGGGGAATAGTACCATAAAATTATATATCAATGGAAAGATAATTTAATCAAGAATATAATGCAACAAAGTTTGTTCAATGATCTGTACTGTATTCTGTGAAACGTTATAGCCAAATAACCAGAAAAAGGAAGCACAACTTGCTTAGGTTGATATCAGGTAGCTTTCCTTCATCCGATTGTAGCCAATGAGCATGAGTGTTTAGAGAGCCAATTGGGTGTCATCTTGTTTTGGCCATGAGCCAATCAGATCACAGTAGGATTCAGTGACTGATGTCATGTATTGAAGCTGAGAGGAGGACATTGGTCAGTGTGTTATGTGATGGCTATCAAGTTGGTTGGGTTTTTTTTTGTTCTTTCATTTAGTGAGCTTGTAAAACATAATAAAATTAAAGCAATGGTGGCAAAGAGTTGACTGGTCGCCCAGAAAGCGATGTAAAATAGTATTATTAAGCGAACAAGGCTACAGTTATAAAGAAATTAGAAGAAAAATGGGGGGAAACTTAACCAAAGGTGGCATTTCTACTGTACACTTTCCCCAAAAGGTTTCCACAATTTTGGCCACTACTGTAAGTCAATATTTTCAGTGCTGTTGTAACTTTCAACAGTCAGTAAACAGATGGTTTATGTCGAGAACTATCTGTAATGATCAAACAGGTCTGAGGGCTGGGCAGATGTATTGATCCCATCAAATTCTGCCCCAAATTTGTTAAGATGTAAAATTGAAACCAACCCACTAACTTTCTTATTTTCTTCACAGACGTACCAGATTTAATCTTCAGGATGTTTCTGTGGGAGATTTTAACCCACGCGGTTTCCCACCTGAAAGTCCAAATTTCCAGGGGAAGATATGAAGCTCCTAAGCCATGTCACCCCCTGGTTTCTTTGGGGGGGGGTGTATAGTAGCTCTTAAGGCATGTCAGCCTCCCGTGTCTTCCCCAGAATTAGCAGCACAAAACAACTGCAGATGGGCCAATTACAGCCTTGCTGTGGGAATTATTGAAGCGTGCCGAGAAAGCGCTAATGGAGTCCCCCCAGAACAATTTCTGTTCCTTCCTAATGATCTGTTTCTAAGAGACTCATCTTTCTGAGCCAGGAAGATGACATCGCAAGTGCCCAGTCCTCATGAGCACGAAGATTTACCGCCATAAGTAAGATTCACCTCCCAGTGGGGACTATCATCCTGTTAAAGAGGCCAATTCATAGATAATCCTTGATTTACGGTCTCAATTGAGCCCCAAATTTTTGTTGCTACAGTGAGGGGAAAAAATATTGGATCCCCTGCTGATTTTATACGTTTGCTCACTGACAAAGAAATGATCAATCTATAATTTTAATGGTAGGTTTATTTTAACAGGGAGAGAAAGAATAACAACAACAAAACTCCAGGAAAATGCATTTCAAAAAAGCTATACATTGATTTGCATTTTAATGAGTGAAATAAGTATTTGACCCCTTCGCAAAACATGACTTAGTACTTGTTGGCAAAACCCTTGTTGGCAATCACAGAGGTCAGACGTTTCCTGTAGTTGGCCACCAGGTTTGCAAACATCTCAGGAGGGATTTTGTCCCACTCCTCCTTGCAGATCCTCTCCAAGTCATGAAGGTTTCGAGGCTG